TAGGAGGCCTAGAGTGTCGGCGTCAACCTCCGCGGCGGCCCCCCGGCGCGCAGGCCGCGCGGCCCCCCCCGCGGCGAGCCGCCGCCCGCCGGCGAGGCGGCGGCGGGCCGCCGCCGCGCCCTGCGGCGCCGGGGCGGAGCGCCTGCGCGCGGCGCTCTCCGCCAAGATCTCCAGCGATGTGTTGTTGTTGCTGCTGTTGTTGTTGTTGTTGTTGTTGGTGGTGTTGTCGTTGTTGCTGTTGCTGTTGGTGTTGTTGTTCATGTAGCTGATGTGATTGTTGTTACTGTTGTTGTTGCTGTTGTTGTTGTTGTTGTTACTGTTGTTGTTGCAGTTGCTGTTGTTACTCTTGTTGTTGTTGGCGTTGTTGTTGGTGTTGTTGTGGCTCTTGCTATTGTTGCTGTCGTTGGTGCTGCTGCTGTTGCTGTTTATGTTGTTGGGTGGTATTGCTGTTGATTGTTGTTGGTGTTGTGGTCATTGTTGTTTTCAGTATTGTCGTCGTTGTTGTTGCTGTTGCTGTTGATATTTGTTGTTGCTGTGTTTTGCCGTTGCTGTCGTGTTTGCATGCCCTCCCCCCCGCCGTCGCCCGGCGCCTCCTCTCCCTCCCCTTGCATGGTGGCCTCATTCGCGCTTCCTGCGCCATACCACGCTTCTTCCGCCAGCGCGGTCACTCTGCCGAGCCGCCGACGCAACAAAAAACTTGTTTCTGCTTGCCCAATCCTGGTGCCTCTCACTGGACCTCGGCGCGCGGGGCCCGGCATCGGGCCCCATCTGCGCCACGCCCCCGAGGGGGGCAGAAGGGCGCCCCGGGGAGGGGGGGGCCGCGCAGCGCAGAGGAGTCACACCGGAGGCTGTCTGGGCTGCCCCCCCCCCCCCCCCCCCAGCCCCGCAGTCCCCCCCACCCCCCTCTCCCAGTGCTCGTCCTCATCCAGGCTCGTCCCTCCTCCTCCTGAGGCAGTGGGGCACTGGTGGCGAGTGTCCACCCGACGCAGCCATCCCTCCTCCTCCTCCTCCTCCTCCTCTCCTCCTCCTCCTCTGTATTCTGGTTCCCCCCTGCTGATCATCCTCCTCTCCTGGGGTCGTGGGGCGTGGTGTGGGGGGGGGTCGTGGGGCGTCGTGTGGGGGGGTCTCCGAGGAGGGTGGACGCTCATCGGCCATGTCAGGAAGGCTACCTGAGGGCCCAAACGCGGCTCTCAGCACAGAGCTTGCACAGAGAAACTGGCACCAGCTCGTGATCCGACCAGGCTATGCGTTAGAGAGCGTGCATGCTACGCTCAGCAGCGTTTGCAGTCTCTGCAGGAGCAAGTGCAAAGGCCGCCAAGCCACTGCACAGGGCAGATCGAATCGTCTGTGGAAGGGCCAGCACCCGTCCACGCGGAGGCACTTTGCGTGTTCTGCACGGTAAGAGGTGGGACCCGAAGTTCCGGTTTGTCCGGTTGTTCTCCTCCTCCTCCTCCTCCTCCTCCCTCCTCCTCCTCCCTCCTCCTCCCCGCTGCACTCCCTCCTCCATCCACCCTGCGCCCCCCCCCTCCTCTCTGCCGCCCCTGTGCGCCTGCCGAGGCCTTCCCCCCCCCCCCTCCCAAGCCTCCTCTCCCTCGTCTTCTCGTCGTCGTCGTCCCAACGCTCTCCGCCTCCGCGCCCTCCTCCCTGCTGCATCCTGGTATCCTCCTCGTCCTCGTCACTTCGCAAGACGTCGTACTCCGCTGACCCCTCCTCCTTCCACTCCGGCCCCTCCCGCTCCTCGACCCCTTACGGGAAGGTTGCGGCGAAGCGTTGGGCTACGTAATGCAGGTGGCGGCGACATCCGAAACACCCCTGCCGCCCATCGAGCCCCCTCCATCCTTGCTGGACGAGGGTTGGGCTCGGATTCCGTCGCCGAGATTGCCCACGCTCTGCCAGACCGCACCATCACACACAACGAATGGACGTTGCCGAGGCAGCCGTCGCATCAGCCGGCAAGCCTCTTCCGAGGCAGCCGCGGCTTGCACCGAGCGGTTTTACAGCGCGTGCTCCCCCCTGCGAGCACCTGGCGCCCACCTTCCGAGGGCCGCCCTTGCGAGCAGCAAGGACAATGCTGGCACATGCTGGTGAGCCCTCGCGGGAACAACAGGGAGAGCTCCGACCCCCTTGGATCGTGCTCTGCCCCATTCCGGCTGAACCTTCGGCCCCGGCCTGACGGAAGCTCGCGAATACCATGGGATCCGACGCTGCGAAGAGCCTGTGCGTCGCGGGGCAGCACGGCAGAAGCCCTGGACCTCATCTTCCCGCGGCAGGTTTCCTGCCAGATCGATCTGCGATTGCCTCAGGGTCCGAAGCAGGGAGAAAAACGCCGCGTGTGAAGAAAGAGTGATGGGTCACTTTTCCACCACCACTACGATGTGTAGGACGGGGGAGAAGGGCCGATGGGGAGGTCCTCCTCCTCTCCTCCTCTCCTCCTCCTCCTCCTCCTCCTCCTCCTCCTCCTCCTCCTCCTCCTCCTCCTCCTCCTGCTACCTATTGATAGTGATGGTGGAAACTCGGCCCATCAAAGAACCGCAAAGCCCAGATCTCGACCTGCCCTGGCATGGCAGCCATGCCCCGCAGGGGTCCTTCCGCCGTCGCCTGCGCGCTGGGAGCGCCCACGTGCGCCGCTGTCGACCGACGGCCGCGTGCGCCAAAAAAACCCTGGCCGCCCAGGCCCTGCCTCGCCTCTCTCGCCTGATTGGGGAACCCGACGCCGCCAGAAGATGTCGGCCGCGCTGCCACAAAAAGCTCCCCCCTCTCTCCTCCTCACACGTCCTGTCCTCCCTCCTCATCCCTTCTCATCGCGCTCCTCCCCTCCTCCTCCTCCTCCTCCTCCCCCTCCTCCTCCTCCTCCTCCTGCTGCCTCCATCTCTCCTCCCTCGCATTCTCGTCATCTTCGTCCCTCCTCTTCCACCCTCCCGTCTCCTCCTCATCCTCCGCCGTCCCTGAAATACGCTGCAACATAGCGAAAAATCGCGAGCAGAGCCCTAGAACCCATCCATCTGAGGCAGCTGGTCTACCCGGAGAAGGTCTGAGGTGCTGGGGCCCAACGCCTAGCGAAAAAAAACAATGTGAAAAATTGCACTGGCCGGATCTCCGGGTCCACCCTGCAGCTCCTCTTCCGCTTCCTCCTCCTCCTCCTCCTCCTCCTCCTCCTCATCATCATCCTCTGACTTCCTCCTCCTCCTCCTCCTCCTCCTCCTCTGTCTTCCTCCTCCTCCTCCTCCTCCTCCTCCTCCTCCTCCTCTCCGGTCCCAGCCCCTCGCCGCTGGGAGGCGCCCTGCGGGGAGCCCGCGGCGCTCCGCCACGGCGCGGCGCAGCGGCTCTGGGGGAACCGATGGGTACTGATACCGCTGCTCCCCGGACGAGGATGACATCGGGTGAGGACACAGTCAGGTCCCTGCCAGAAGGAACGCTAAATAAGGAACGAAGCCCCTTCTGTTTCATAATCAGATAGTAAATATGAAAGGACCGGCCGAGCCCCTTTTTGAAAGCGTTCCCTCATCGTTGCCTCTCGTTTTGACAGAGACCCCCCCCGTTCGGCGAATCGATTGCGCGCGCCATAACCCACGGAACGCCGAGGGGCTTCGTGGCGCAATGGCGAGGGAACACCAGCAGACCCAAGGAACCACCGAGCCCCTTCCGAACCCGAACTGGACCTCATTTCAGGAGCCTCACTGTACCTCTGCGATCCGGAGGCTCAGGGGGGCGTCCTTTTCCTCCTCCTTCTCCTCCTCCTCCTCCTCCTCCTCCTCCCCCTCCTCCTCCTCCTCTTCGTCGTCCTCCTCCTCCTGCTCCTCCTCCTCCTGCTCCTCCTCCTCCTCCTCCCTTCCTGGTCGTCGTCGATGTCCTTCAGGGTCGGCGGCAGGGGCCGCCAGGCCTTCACCAATCTATGGGATCCGGCGGTTCTGGAGGATGTCTGGGGCGCCACAGCCATCTCAGAGCGCTGTGGAACGTTCTGGGAGCGTTCCGGAACGCTCTGGAACGCATACAGGGCAGTTTATAATACATGGGATGCTTAAAACTATTGGATTTTAATATATGATTTATCGACTAATAAATCAATGCATGAACTCATCGATGTTTTTAATACTCAATCCCTGCAGTTTGAATACATGATCCGCACGCGGAGCATGTATTAAAAACGGCACTGTGTATCCTCATGTTCCGCCCAGACCTCTCCAGGGGTGCGACCTGGCCAGGAGTTCGAAGCGAGTCCAGCGGTGGCGACGAGGGCCGCCCGAGAGGCCCAAAAAGGAGGAAACGAGGAAGGATGCCCAAGAGGCCCAAAAAGGAGGGAACGAGGAAGGATAATTGGCAGGGCTCGAGCGAAACGGTGCTTTTCGTATTCGTTTCGTTTTGTCGATTTCCGTCGTTCTGTGTCTTCGTTCTGCCTCTGCTGCGAAGCGAGATCAAAACGAACACGGTCAACAAAATGGCCAAAGCAACACCGTTTAGATCGAGCCCTGAAAGGTACCCGTCGCTCGGAAGAGATAGGTCAACAAATGAAGTAGGAAGGCGGATAAAGTAGATTGGGCTCAGGCCCTCCCAGATAATAACAACGCACACAGCAAAACGATATCGATTCTTGGAATAGGAAGGCGCCTGGTGTAGATTGGGATCTGGGAATTCAGAATACCTGCTAGAATCTCTGAGGATCGCCGCGGCCTTTTCAGAGCGCTCCAGAACACTCTAGGAGCGCTCTGGGACGCTCTGGAACGGATCTGTCCTAGAAGAAGAAACCGGCATGAACATAAACTCTTGACGCTACGCGAAGATTTCTTGGTTTTGCGCTGGTCTCCTCCCTGGCGCGGAGCGTGCCAGGGGCGGCGCCGGAGGCGCCGCCAGGGCGCTCCAGCGCGGATCCAAAACAACCACGCGGAGCGGGAACAATTTGTGTTTATGCTGTTTCATCTTCTCCGGCTAGCCCCGTCCGGAAAACACCGTTTAGATTGAGCCCTGGAGGTAGCGGTATGGGTACCTCTTCCACCTGCTGAGACTCACCGCCGCACGGTCCCGCCCTTCGTGTCGATGCCGAGCTCCTTCAGCGACTGCTGCTGCGCCCTCTCGGCCATCATGTAGCCATTCTGCCTGGGGGGTGGCGCCGGACTAGGCAGGCCGCGCCGACCCTCGTCGTCGTCGTCGTCGTCGTATCGTCGTCGTCGTATCGTCGTCGTCGTCGTCGTCGTCGTCGTCGTCGTCGTCGTCGTCGTCGTCGTCGTTATCGCCGTCGTCGTCGTCGTTGTTCTCGTCGTTCTCGGTGTTCTCTTTGTTCTCTTTGTTCTCGTCGTCGTCCCCGTCGTCCTCGTCGTCCTCGTCGACGTCGTCGGCGTCGTCTTCCTGCTCATCCTCCTGCACACCGCTGGGAATGGAAAAGGAGTAGCCGTCGAGGAAAATCGATGCACATAGTACCCGTCGAGGGATGGGATGGAAAATCAATGCACATTAAGCTTTCGGAGCTCCGCGCAAATTTCTTGGATCGGCGCTGGACCCAGGGAGGGGGGGTGGCGGGGCTCAGCGCCGATCTGAAAACTTCGCGCGGAGCTGCCAAAATTCAGTTTAGGTTTGTGCCCGCTTGCTCCCCGAACCAATGGCACCCCAACGTCGGGAGCCCGAAAGCGTGGCGCTCCATCCTTTTCGCCCGAGGGCCCGGTGCTTCTCCGGCAACCACACGCTGCCGAGCTCCCCACGGCTGCGTGTCCTTGGTGCTGCTTTTGCTTCTCCTGCACCGCACCTTCCCCTCGCCGTCTCCCGCCCCCTCCCCCCGAGCCCCGCCGAGGCCCTTGACGCCCGTGCTGCGAAGCGCACCAACGGTGCGGCTCGAGCCGAGCCCGGCATTGCTTCGCCCGAGTTTTACCCCCGGCCTGATACTGATGTGGGCGGCCTTGACCCCTGTTGGCGACCTCTTTGAGGCCAGTGTGCCGCCCTCTGTTTGATGCATGTTGGGATGCGATGCGCAGCTGGTGCCGGACTCCTCCCAGGCCCACCTCCAGCTGGCCCCTCCTCACCATCTCCACCCCTCCCTCCGTCTAAGTAGCCCCCCATCCTCCTGTCCCGCCCTCTCTCCAGAAGCTGACTCCTGGTGCTGCTCCGCCTCAACCACCTCCTCCTTGTTCCCCCCCTCCTCCTCCTCCTCCTTTTTCTCCCCCTCCTCCTCCTCCTTCTCCTCCTCGGCGCCATCGGGAGGCCATGTGCTCACGAGGACTGACCGAGTTGAGCGAGGATGACAGTGCCGCCCCGCCTATTCATCACCCAATTCCAACTACCTCCTTCTTGTTTCCGTTTACAATGTGAAGAACTCCTCCCAGAAACACCACCACAATCGTCTCGGTAGGGCGGTCTGGGCGTTTCGCCTGAGCCATATATTCACAACTGGTTACCCTTACACCGCACAGCTTTGATCACAGCTCGCACCAGCATTTGACATACTTCGCACCACATATTGCACCACAGAGCTTGCGCAACAAATCAAACAACACAGTTTACATTACATGACTCGCACCACATGGCTTAAACCATACAGCGTATTCTACGCAACTAGAATAATAAAGCTTGAACCACACAGCTCGCGCCAGACAGCTTGCACCACGCACGTTCCACACGGATTGCAAACCATAGCTTACACCATGCATCCTGATCTAGAAAGGTTGCACATCGACAATGCGAGATCCTACTGTCCCGAGGCCACGCTAGCAAACATAAGCGAATGCCCCGCGGGGGGGATCGCGCCGAATCGCCAATGCATCGGCGATGCATCTCCGATGCATCGACGACGTCGGCGATGCATCGGCGCCGTCGGCGTGGAGAAACTTGAGCTTCACATCGAGCCGCATCGCCGATGCGGCGCGACCCCCCGACCCCACCTGCTCGGATCCCATCTGGGAGGCCTAGACAAGGAGGGATGGGGGACGGGGGACCAGAGATACAGACGGGCGTTTTTGCAACACCACTGCTCTTAATCGAGTTGCGTCGCCTGCAGCATGCCGCCAGTAGAAAAGACGAGCGACCCACACATCCGACGTCGTGCTCGTTGCCCCTGTGTGGGCCCCAGGAGGTCTGGACCCCTTTGCCGGGGACTGGCTTTGCATCCAGAGCCATGGTTGGATGGCTCCTGGGTACCGTTCCGCCCAGCCGCGCGTGGCCGACCTTCAGAACAGCAAACGCTCGACAACAAGAGATCTTCCAAAAGAAACCCAACCCTGAGACCCCAGGACGTCCCTTCGTTTCCGGCGTGGGAGCGCCGCGCTTTCCACGGCAAAACCATCGAAATCCAAGAACCCCAGGGCAAGCTGGAGGCAAGCAGGGTGTATTTTTGGCATGGGTTTCCACTGCATTCTGTCCGTGCCCATTTCGATCGTCCCTATCGTTATCGGGCAGGGTGTTTCTCTGCATGCACGTCGTTCAAATTCTAATCGCTCATTTCTAATCGTGCTCATTTCTGATTGTTCCTGGCCCCCCCAGTGGCCAGGAAGAGGCCCAGGATAGAACAGTTAGAAATGAAGGGATCTTGCCCCCAAGAAAAACAAAAGACTTTTCGAATAATTAGAAGAGAACAATGCGTAGGTTTATGTCGGGCGTGTGGCCTTACAGGGGGATTTTCGATGAAAAATAAAAAATACCGCCAAAATACCCCGCAAAGGTGAAACAATACTAAAAAAATGATCCCCAGACAATTGTTGGACAATTTTTTGACTATGTTCGGGGTATGTTTGATTTTTCGTCGAAAATCCCTCTGTAGGGGGACACGCCCGACTTAAGCGAAGGTTTCCACCGTCCCTGGGGGGGAAGGATCGGTGCACTGCTCGGGCGCGGGAGGCCCCCGCCTTGGGCCCGAACGGCCCCCCCCCCTTGAGGCGCCCTGCGGGGCCCCCTTCCTGCAGCCCCGGCTGCCCCTCCCCCCCCCCTTATTATCCATCGCCCCCCCCTCATTTCGGGAGCGGCCAAGAGGTCGGGACGACCGACATGGGCACGGAAAGAATGGGTACTCCAGATTTCGTAATAAAGGGAGGGGGGTCTCATTTCGGGGGGGGGTCTCTTCCAGGCTATCTTGGAGGGCCTGGGGGGTCTGGGGACGATGTTTTGGAGGGTTCTCCCACGGGGGAGGTCTGAAATGGCTTGTCTTGGAGGGTCCAGACCCCCTCCCTTTTATTACGAAATCTGGGGTACAATGCCCAACAGCAGTTCCTGTTCATTTTGAACAGGACTCGCCGTCCGCGCCGCCGCGGCCTGTGTCCATTTGAAACAGAAGGCCACCTGCCCGACAGCGGCCGCTGTTGGTTTGGGACAACATTTGTTGCTGGGCATTGTACACATTCTTTCCGTACCCATTTCGGGCGTCCAAAAAGAGGGGGGTGTCCAAGAGGAGGGGGTGCAAATCATGACCGGCGGCACGTGCGCGGCCCAGCGGGGGGGGCAGGGACGTCATGAAAGAAGAAGAGGCGCCACGAGTTCTGGGGAAATATCATGGCCCCCGCCATGATTTCCACCTCCCCTAGTCATCACCCCCCTCTTTTCCGCCCCCGACCAAAACGCGACGCCCAACGCATGGGTGGACGCAGTCTTAGGCCGGGCATGCCCTCCTGCAGACGGGCTTCGGAGGAACAACAAGACATGGTCTCTAAAGTAGTGAAATGTGGTAGAAAACTCCTCACGAGAGATTTTTTCTTTTTGGCAAAAAAACGGCTATGCTTGAACATTCCCGCTGTAGAAGGACCTGCCCTCGGGGATCTTCTGACCCGGGTCAATCCAGACCCGGGTCAGCAGGAAACCACACAACTGCAGTGCAGGAAATAAGAACTGCAACGCAGGGCTTCGCACACCCGGGTCAGCCAATGTGCGCGGCCGCCTCGCGGCCACGAGCGGCTCGCTAACCCGGGTCAGCTGGAGGGGGTCTTCGCAAGATCTTGCAGGATCCGGTGCCCTGGCTGACCCCCGTTTGCATCCCCCGTCAACGCAGCCTCCGGTCCTCGCTCTCTCTCTGGGGGAGAGCTGCGCCAGGGAGCGACAGGGGCCAGCACAGGCGGCGACTCTGCCAAGCCGGGACGCTGGCGCGCCCGAGAGCAGAGAGCGGCAGCCGGGCAGGCGAGCCGCCGCGGGGGAAGGAGCGCGGCGCGAGGAGCGAGGCCTCCGTGTGGTGGCCGCGGGGGCGCCTCCGTGCGAGGGGAGGGCCAGCGGAGCATGCGCGGAGCGGCCCAAGGCACAGCGAGCTGCTGCCGAAGCCCAGGCGCTTCTTCTGCTGCTCCTCTCCGTGGCTGGAACGAGGGCACGGGGTGGAAGCCACCTGCGTTCGTCGTTCTCTCCGAGTGGCATGCGGCCAGGGAGCGGAAACGGGCATAGCCACAGCTCATTTCGGAACTCCGCGCGGGTTGTTCGGATCGGCGCTGGACCCTCTCCCTGGCGCACGGAGCGCGCCAGGGGCGGCGCCAGAGGTGCGTCAGGGGGTCCCAGCGCCGATCCAAGATATTATGTAAATGCCGTTTTCTTGTTCTTCGATTAGCGGTGTCCTAGGTTTGGAAGCGGCCAGGGGGCCTGAGCTGGTTGGAACCAAGGAAAATCGGTCAAGATGGGGGGGGGCATGCAAATCCGCTCAAATTCGGTTCCCAGAACCCTCCCGGTGTCCATCTGGTGCAGCGTTTCTCTTGCACGACGAGATGGGAACAATATGTGCGACTGAACGTCTGGAAAACGTATGGCATCGTTGACGGCTTCGGGCCCCGGAAAGCGGCCCCCGGGGATCGAGAATGCGAAAGACCTTCACCAACCATCTAGGACATACGAAATACGAACTACGAGAACCACCTAGGAAATACAAGAAATATGAAAAACTTCCCCATGAGAAATACGAGATATAAAACGGGGACCTCGACTCACCGCCCCCTCCAAAGGCCACGCTGACGGCGATGCTGGTTGACGGTGCTGCTGGAAACCGACGCCGAACTCGCGCAGAACAAACTGCAGGAAATCGCGAAGCGGATTTTTCCGCGTCCCCACCAAGAGGCTCCCGAGCGCTTCGAGGAGACCCCAGAGGCCCCGGAGAGCGCCTCGGAGAGATCCCAATAAGCATCCACGAGGACTCTGACCCACCTCAGCATCGACGTCGTCGCCGCCGTTGTCGTCATTCCCCTTCACGCCCCTTCGGGGTCGGCGGCACGGGCCGTAAGGCCTTCGCAATCACGAGCCACACTGTCCACGTCATTTCACATACGGTGTGGGCATTGGATAAGGAACCATTAGATAAGGAATCCAGGGTCTGGAAACCAGTGGAAGTCCAATTGAGGCTTGGTCGTGGATATCGCCGCCGCCCTCGTCAGACAAGGAACCCTCCAGGGTCTAAAGCCTCCTGGGCACATTCCTTAACTAACGCCCCCACCGTAAGCGAACGTGTCGAGCAAAAGCGCCACGGTGATATGTAGGAAACCACGAACCGCGTGTTCCTACAGGCGGTGTGGCCACGAACCAGCCCCCCACACACAACACCGAGAGCCACCGTCGCCGTCCACGCGTCTGCGGCGCCCCTCTTCCTGCCAACCGGAGGCCTGGCGCACAGCGGGGAGACGCCCGCGCAGTTCTCGAGGATGTCTGAGTAGATCATGGCCTGCTCCTCGGGGAGAGGGGGGGAGATGGGGCAGAGGCCTCCTCCACCCGCTGACCCCTTTTCGTCGGCCGCCTCCCTCCCCCCTCTCCACGCCAACATCACCCTCCTCTCCCCCATCCTCTGCTCTCCCCACCTCGTCCCCCACGCGCGCGTTTGTCTTATTTTCCGCGATCATGGGCATTCTTGGGGGGGGGGGGGCCTGGGGGGGGGGTATAATGTAACGCCTCCCCCCCGCCGAGCGCACGGCGGCAGTGCCCGGAGCGCACTGGGGGTGGAGGGGCGCCACGTCTCGCTATAGGGGAGGGGGGGAGGGGGGGCCGGGGGCGATATCTATATATATATATATATATACACATACATACACACATATACATACATATACAGATACATATACATATACATATACACACATGTATGTATGTATATATAGATATACGATGCCCATTATGCCCCAAGCCACGGTCGCGCCCTCCGCTCCTCTGCCGGTCGGCCCCGACGGGCAGCGCAACCCCCCGGTGAGCGGGGCTCGCAGACAGCTGCACTGCCGCGTCCGACCGACCAGCCCGCCGAGAGGCCTCCAACAGGGGATCCGAGCACAATCTGGCCTCGGGCCTCGGACAGAGCAGCACCCCTCAAGAGCACGAGACCCTCCGCCGGCCAAGCACACAGAAGATCCAAGGGCACCCTCCCCAGGGGTGCTCAAGGACAGCCAACGAGCACGAAGAACATCAGGGTACCCTCCCCGAACCGACCTCGATCCTATACCTCGGCCCGGCTGTAGACGGGATCGGAGGATCGTGCCGCATCGTCGATGCGTCGACGCCGTCGCGATGCTTTGGCGACGTCGGCGTGGAGAAAACCAGGCTCCGCATAGGTTGGTTGCGCATCGCCTAGGCTGCCTCGAGAATGCGAGATCCGACTGTCCGCAGGTCACGATAGCAAACATACGCGAATGCCCCGTGGGGGGGGGGATCGCGCCGCATCGCCTATGAATCGGCGATGCATCGCCGATGTGTCGGCGACGTCGCGATGCATTGGCGACGTCGGCGTGGAGACGCATTGCCGATGCGTCGGCGAAGCGGCGCGATCCTAAAACCCCACATACTCTGACCCTGTCTGGAAGGGCCTGCTCCTCGGGGAGGGGGGAATCCTCCTGCTCTTCTCCTCCTCCTTCTCCTGCTGCTCCTCCTCCTCCTCCTGCTGCTCCTCTTCCTCCTCCTACTCCTCCTCCTCCTCCTCCTCCTCCTCCTCCTCCTCCTCCTCCTCCTCCCCATCCTCCTCCTCCTTCTCCTGCTGATCCTCTTCCTTCTTCCCCTACCCTCCTCCTTCTTCTTCTACTCCTCCTCTTCCTCCTCCTCCTCCTCCTCCTCCGTCTCCTCCGCCTCCCCCTCCTCCTGCTCCTACTCATATTCCTGCTCCTCCTCCTCCTCCTCCTCCTTCACCTGCTCCCCCTCCTCCTCCTTCTTCTCATGCTCCTGCTCCTCCTCCTCCTCCTCCTCATTCTCCTACTCCTGCTCCTCTGGGGGAGTGGGAAGGTCAGATCTTCGTCTGGCATATAGAGGGCTAGCAGGCCCGACTGAGGGGCGATTGCGCCAGATTATCCGTTCCAAACCAAACAAGCACAACTACGCTGGATCAGGGCCTATCACGCAAGATGAAGCCCGGCTCGACGGGATTATGCCCTGAGGATCAAACAGAATTGGGCCAGAAGGGCAGGCCTGGATGACTGACCGAGGAGTGGGGGGTGTCGGGTTCCCCTTTGTTCAACCACCCTGTGGTGTTGGGCCCTCGCGTTGACGAGACAGAGCGCCCCACGATCTCCTCTCCTGCTACCCTCCTCCTCCCGCTCCTCCCGCCTCCCACCCTTGCATCTGCCCTCCGCATATCCATTTCGGCACACCCCTCATATGCTTCGTAGCCCCAGAGGGAGCTCCACCGAAGGCCCCAACGGCAGGATCCGCATGGCGGCCCCACACCCGTTTCGGCACACCCCACACGTTTCGTGGGCCCATAGGGAGCTCCACCGAAGGCCCCAGCAGCAGGGTAGGCATGGCGGCCCCGCACCCGATTCGGCACACCCCTCACACATTTCGTGGCCCCATATGGGAGCTCCACCGAAGGCCCCAGCGGCAGGGGCCGCATGGCGGCCCCGCACCCGATTCGGCACACCCCTCACATGTTTGGTGGCCCCATAGGGAGCTCCAGCAAAGATGGTAGTCACAGCTGCGGTACTCACTACTGCAGATGGCTAGGTCCTTCGCCCGGATAACGTTTTGATTTTGGTATTCTAGGGTCTTGGGACTTTAGAACCCCTCATGCCGCTTTGGTGCCCAAGGGGGAAGGAAGGCGGGGGAGAAGGGGCCCAAGTCTACGATAAAGTGCTTTCCCAATCCTGGCGCATTTCCTTGATTGCCAATACTCTTCTTTGGACGCCCGAAATGGGTACGGAAAAAATGGGCACGATGCCCAACAAGTGTTGCCCCAAACCGACAGCGGCCGCTGTTTTGGGCAGGCGGCCTTCCGTCCAAAATTGGCAACACCCACCAGGACACCGCCAGCGAGACCTGCTCAACCTGATCAGGAAGTGCGGTCGGTCTTTGTGCCTATTCCAGAGGCCTCCTAGATGGGGTCGGAGTATATTGGGCCAGAGGATCACGCAGCATCGACAATACATCGGCGATGCATCAGCGATGCACCAGCGATGCATCGTCGACGTGGGAGATGCATCGGCGACGTCGACCTGAAGCAAATCGGGCTCCACATCGTGCCGCATCGCCGATGCATCGTCGATGCGGCACGATCCTCCGACCCCATCTACTCGGACCCCATCTGGGAGGCCCAAATATTCTTTCCGTACCCGCTCCGATCGTCCCGATCGTCATCGGGCCCCGTGGCCACCAGCGACCACTCCCGGACGCACAGCTGTCCCCGAGGGGAGGGGGCGCCCGGGGGAGGGGCCCGGGCAAGCCCCTCGGCGTGGCACAACAAAAAAAAACTTGGCTCTGTTGACAGCTGTCGGCGTCTCGAGGCTCTCGCCAGGCCCGGGGGCGTGCAAGAATCGGCGGCGAGCCCGGGGGGAGGTGAGAAGCGGCGATCCTTCTCAGGGGCTCGGACGGCCCCGGGCCTGTTGAGGAATTTTCGACGCCGTCCCCGAAGACGCAAAGACTTCTCATAAGGCGCGAGTTCACCCCCTCCTCGCCGCCGCAAGAATCTGCTCGGGATGAGAAACCTGTCCTCAGGAAGGGGTCCAGAACTCTGGGTGTCCACGCTGTGAACAATGCGCAACGTCTGCAGTCCGGGAGGATGGGGGGTAGGAGAATGTGGGAGAGGGAGGGGGTGGGAAGGGGGGCGCGGGAGGAGGGGGAGAGGGAACGGTGCAAACGACTCCAAGGAGGAGGAGGGGGAGGAGGAGCGCCTCAGGTTCATCGAAGCCTTGGAGCCGATCGTTGTACGTCTGGGCGCAATCCTCCACTTCCTTGGAACCCGTGTTATACTTGCTGTGCGCCTCGGCCTTGCACTCTGGGGAGACGCCCAGCCCTTGCTTTAGCCACTTGTACTCGATGGTGTCGTCGACCCAGGCGCGAACGCATCTTTCTGCGCGCTCCAGGCCCATCTTCTTCAAGCACAAGTTGTACGCCTTAATGACGAAATTCGTCGCGCCCTCCTTGTCGCTGCTCTGCAAGCGGTCGAGGCCCCACTTCCACTGCTTTTTGCCCTCCGTGCACTCGTTCAGTGTGGCCGACTGTGGGGTGCGGGGGGGGGGAAGACGACGAAAACGGAGGATGGAGGAGGAAAGGCAGGATGCAGAAGGGAGATCACAAGGTCGAATAATGGAAGACAGAAGTCGGTGGGAGACGCGCTGAGAATCGCAACCCGCGCAAGGCATGAGAGCAAGATGGAAGAGGAAGCAGCGAGGCACTGGAAGGGGGCAGGCAGGACGAGGGGGAGAATACAGCGGAGGACGAACAAAAAGCAGAGCAAGGGGAGGGATGGAGGGGGTGGGGAGGGGGAGGGGGGTTGAATCTAGGGAGGAAGGAGAACGGGAGGAGGCGGCAGGTAGTAGACATGAGGAGCCAGGACACGTTATGTACACATTGGAGGAGCAAGAACTATATGAGGTAAGATGGAGGATTGTCGAAGCATGGGAAAACAAATAATGGAGGATACAAGTCTTGATTAGAGGGGGAAGTACCATATTTGTGGCCCCGCCACCTGCTCCTCCGACAGCGGGGGGCACTCCTTTGCGTAGGAATCGTGATCGCCTTCTTCATCTGCGGGTTTTTCACCGCAGCCAGGGTCCCCAGCCTTGCAGGTCTCGTCGGAGTCCTCCCCTCAGCAAAATTCTCAGCCTCCCTCTGCCATGGGAGACAATTGGTGGAGGTGGGTGCAAGTCGGGAAGGGGGGGGAACGTAGAGAAAAAACGGAGGGAGGTGAAATAAGGTGATGGGAGAAGGAAGTCGGAGCGGGGTCAGCTTAAAACATACAGTAAGTATGCTGCGCTTTACGTGTATAGACACGAATACCACGCGCACGCGACGCGCGCTTAAACTCTAGTCCACCCCGAAAGCCCCATCCTCATCCTCATCTTCACGACTAGATCCTCATCCACTCCCATGGCAGGCACGCCATCTTGGAGGCAACGAGCGCGGGAACGCGAACGACAGCGTCGTCGTCGGTGTCGTCGTCGCGGTCGCGGGAGGGTGAGAGGGAAAGGGGCGTGAAAAAAGAGAGGGGAGGGAAGGAAGGAGGGAGGAAAAACGGAAGCAAAGAAACAAGAGAGAAACACACAAGGAGGAAACGGGAAAGGGAGCGAGGGATGGATCAGCGGATGACTAGGGGTTCGTAGTGTTTCCTTTTCCTCCGCCTCTTCATGTTTCGTTCCCCCTCCTCCCTCAATGTTATCCTCACCTCCGACCTCGGCCTCCGCGCCCCTCTTCCCCTCCTCGTCCCCTTGTTCCTCTTTCCACTGGCGGTGGCAATCAGATTCCTGGAAGGCTATCCGGGAACATGATGGTTCTGAGAGCATGATGGTTTGGGCTGCGTTGGGGGCCGTCTCGGATGCCTCTGGGCCCGTCTTTGAACGGTCTGTGAAAGCAGGGCAGATGGAGGTAGACGCGGCTGATTAGGGGTTACGCCTATATGTTTCTATTGGGTCTTTCTGGGACGTCTTTCGCGCCGTCTCCGAGCACAGGGAAGCGCAGGCAAGCGACGACAGCAAAATCTGAAACAACCAACTGGGCAATTAATGATTTCTGCCTATTGGTGCACTCTCGGGAGCCAATTTGAAGCCTTCAGGGGGTTCCTTGGATACCTCTTTGGCTGTCTCGAAGCAACGGTGGGCGCTGCGGCCGCTCTTGCGCCCCGCGGGCTTCCTCGAGGCCCTTCAGGGTATGTCCACGCTCATATGGGGGGCTATCTAAGGACCTCTTAAACTATCTGGGGCGCGTGTTGGGCCGTCTTGGCGCGCCTCGTGAGGTGCTGGTGCTCTCTTGGACGCCTGCTGAAATTTCCGGGGCGTCGGGCAGCGGCAATGGGGGCGCTCTCGGAATCAGTTTGGAACCCTCCCGGGGCGTCTTGGAGGCCTCGTGGGCTGTCTCGAAGCAAGTGGTGTGCGTGCTGGGGGCGTTTTGGGCCCCTCTGGGCAGCCTCCTGCGCTGTGGCAGCATTCAGACTTACCCTCCGGCCTACTCATTTCTGAATCCCTGTCGATATGAAATGTAAAAGTGTACAGACATACGGGTGTGTATACATATATATATATATACACATACATACATATGTATATATATAGACACACACGTTTTTTCTTATATATGCACATACATGTACATATACACACATAACTACACGTATATACTGGGCCGTCTTAGGAACCACTGGGGCTGTTTTGGAGCCCGCTTGGACCGTAATCCTCGTTCTCGCCGTCACGCTCATCCTCCGTATCATCCTCATCATCTGCCGCCGTCTGCCGCCTTCCTCTCCTCCTCCTCCTCCTGGACCTCCTGCTCCGACTAGGTCTCCTCCTCGGTCTGGCGATGACAGTCCTGTTCCCGGGAGGCACTCGGGGAACATGACGGTTCTGGCCCCTGTGGTGGAGGCTCCAAGGTAACCCACGTGAGGCTGCGAGGCCCGAAGTGCGAGCCCGGTGGAATCACTTGAATTATTCAAACTGGGATGAGGAGGCAGAGCTTGAAATGAGACGGAGGAGTCCTGAGGTAACAAGACAGCAATGGTACGAGCTGGGAAGGCCACGAGGAGGATGAGAAAGAGCGTGAAAGACTTGAGACAGAGACCCGAATGGCCAGCGGCTCATCTCGCCGCCGTGCCTGGGTTGTGGGTCACAATTCTATAACATGTTCGGTGGGATGTCACGGGAAACATATCGAGGGCCTCTTGGGAACCGTTGTTTGGCCTCTTGGAGGCCGTTTTGGTGCCTTTCTGGGGTGGGAGCCTCTTGGGGGCCTCTTGGGGTCTCGTGGGGGCATCTCGGGGCCTTCTTGGGGCCTTTTAAGGGCCTCTTGGAGCGGAAACTAGAATTGTCGGTTCGCGCTCGCCCTCTTAAGCCCTTCTTGGGGCTGCCATTGGGCCCCCTTGGGCCCCCTTGTCGTCTTTCTCTTCTCGGCGTAGTGCACGGGACCATGCTACACGAGCGTTCATAAATGGCAATTGCACTGCCGATTTGTCGTTGCAGCCGGATACCACCACCACTATCGAGATCGACCATGCATGTCTCATCTGCGGCGTCGTCTGCCGGACTATGGGAGATTATGGCATGCATATTCGTTCTCATCTTTTTCCTTCTTTTATCGAGCTCGAGTGCCACCCGGACCTTTCAACTGTTCCATTACCACATCCTTCTGAACTTTCGTTCACATTGCCACCCCGCTATGGACCTCGCCGCGATGCTCGGGGCCGCGTCGGGCGAGGCACCGGGGACAGCGGAACCGCGCGCCAAACGGTTCGCAGCAGCAGAGCACGGGAGGAACATGGAGAAGGACGATTACAAGCGGTTCACAAAGTTCCTAGTCATTCTGTCCAAGCTGTGATGAGCCGGGTGTTCCAAGGGATTCTTCTGACGTGCTGGATGCTCCCAGCAGAGTGCGAGCTTTGCAAGTTTGTGAAAATGGCGACCAAATCACATTCCGAATCGTTGGAGAAGCTCCGGGAAGAGGGGCTCAACAAGGAGGTCATTTCCAAGAAAATTGGTCCACCATATGTGGTGGCTTGGCTGGGCATGGGCCGGTGGATCTACGACACACTTCGCCAGCATTCCACGATGAAGGAACAGCATTCGGGCCTGATCAAGACCATCGAGGACTATCTGCAGACTTACCAGCAGATGGGGATAGAGCAGGCATGGCAGCACATTCAGAAGGAAGTGAAGCACTTCCGCCTGGCGGACGCGTACAACAAGTCACACAAGAAACTTCTATGGTTCGTGAAGGAGAACACCGTGTCTGCACGCCTCATTCCCGATCTGCTGCTATGCCTTGCCACGATTCAGGACGCCAGGGCAATGGATTCCGTTCCTCCGCCGGGGGATCTGGAGCGCCGCGTGCAGCAATGGCTCGACGAGCAGAGCCGGTAGAGACGGACAGAGAAGCACATGTAGTAGAATCTCTGCTTAGAGCGCACTCGGCCGAGAAGCTTCGTGAACTGGCATCCCAGAGAGGTTCGCCTAGGTCTGGCAACAAGCCACTCAGAATTGCCAGATTCATGTTTCACTCTTGAGCGAGATGCGCCTGTATTGCACATTCTCGATTTCTCTGTCTTGCTGCTCCTTGTTCTTCTCTCTCTCTCTCTGTTTCTCTCGTTCTGTCTCTCTCCTGCTGCTTGCTGCCTTCTCTCCTGGTCCCCTGCTTCCTCCCCCTCGTCTTCGTCCTCTTCGCTCGCTCCTGCGCTTGCTGTTGCCGGTCCCTCATCGCATCCATATCTTGCCACGCATGCTGAAGCGAGCTGCGATGGCTGCACGCGCCTCAGCCGGGGGGCCCAAGGCCTGCGCCCCGACGGGCTTTCTCGGCGGTGGGGCCACGCCGGCCGGTAGCCACCGCTACGGGCACCTTCTCTGCACCAAATCGCTCATTTGTTGACAATCCTTTGACATGGTGCCATAGAGTGAGTGAAGTGAGTGGCGTCTTGGGGAACCCTCGGGTCCCTTTGTAGTCCCCTTGGCCGTTTCGGAGCTCTTCTGGGGGCCTCTTGGCCAGTCTTGGGGCAGTCTTTGGGGCCCCTTGGGCCGTCTTGAATTATCGGAAACCCGAAAAGTGGAGGACCCCAGAACATTGACAAGCGCAAAGGAACTCACCGATTTGTGCGTTTGGGGCGCTCGTCCGGGGCCTCGGGCGCCCACTGAATCGAACACGGGGCCGTCCTCGCGCAGCCTGAAAGCCTTCGGAGGCCGTTGAAAGTTCATTTTCGGCGATCTCGGGGTGTGATGGACTTGTCTGGAAGACGTTCATGGCATTCTGTTGGCCATCTGCGCGCAAACGGAACCACTATGGAAGACACGGGGGCGCTCGTATGGCCCCTGGAGCGGCCATGCGTCACCGTGGCCGCTGTATCTTCCGATATTCTGGTGGATTCCCCAAAGAATTGCTTGCACTTAGGGTTTCTTACTTGCGTTAATCATCTCACGACCCTCCCCGCAAACTCGCCGCCGTGCCGCCCGTCGCCGCCCGTCGCCGTCGCCTCGGGGCCATCGCCGCACAATCGCCGCGGTGCCACCCGTCGCACCCCGTCGCCGCCCGTCGCCGTCGCCGCCCTTTGCCGCCCTTTGCCACCCTTTGCCGCCCTGTGCCGCCCGTCGCCGCCCGTCGCCGTCGCCGCCCGTCGCCGCCCGTCGCCGCCATCCCCGCCCGTCGCCATCGCCGCGTCGCATACGTTGCACCGCGTAGATTGCAACACGTACGTTGCATCGCATACATTGCACCACATGTATTGCACCGCATAGACTGCAATACATGGGTTGCGCCGCATACGTCGCACCACATAGATTGCGCCGCATGGGTTCAATTCCATAGGTTGCATCGCGGGCGGAGCACCACACATAGACTACATTACATATGTTGCATCGCGTACAGTGCACCACCTATATTGCACCGCGTATCTTGCAACACATAGGCTGCATTGCAGACGTTGCACCACACATGGGTCGCATCATAGAATACGCATCGCGTACATTACGACACATAAGGTGCACCGCGTAGATTGCATGTATACCAATTGCGTCGCATACGTTGCATCAAATGCAGTGCGCCGCCATCACTGCATTACGCAACTTGCATCGCATAATTTTTAAAATAAAGAAGGGAGAACAAACATATTCGACCCC